GACTTGGATGATTATATCGATTAACTTGACTTGTTGGTTTACAGATTCTTTTATATTTCTAGTTTTGGTACATATTAGATTGTTTATTGGTTTTTAATTTTAGTAAGTACACAAGTTTCAAGTTATTTTGCATGTTTTTACATGTAATGCTCGTCTATAACTCGTCTGGTTATGAACCATAACTTGACAAGTTATTGTCCATAACTCACAGTTATTGTCCATAACTTGTCTGGTTATGAACCATAACTTGACAAGTTATTGTCCTTTTTCACAGTTATTGTCAATAATTCAGTTTTGTCCATAACTTGTCTGGTTATGAACCATAACTTGGCAAGTTATTGTCGATAGCTCAATTTTTGTCCATAACTCAGTTTTTGTCCATAACTTGTACGGTTATGAACCATAACTTGACAAGTTATTGTCCATAATTCACAGTTTTTGTCCAAAACTCACAGTTTTTGTCCAAAACTCACAGTTATTGTCCATAACTCACAGTTATTGTCCATAACTTGCCTGGTTATGAACCATAACTTGACAAGTTATTCTCCATAATTCATTGTTTTTGTCCATAATTCTCAGTTTTTATCCAAAACTCACAGTTTTTACCATAACTTGTCTGGTTATGAACCATAACTTGACAAGTTATTGTCCATAACTCACAGTTTTTGTCCATAACTTGTCTAGTTATAAACTATAACTTGACAAGTTATTGTCCATAACTCAGTTATTGTCCATAACTCATTGTTTTTATCCATAACTTGTCTGGTTATGAACCATAACTTGACAAGTTATTGTCCATAATTCACAGCTTTCGTCCATAACTCACATTTTTTATCCATAACTTGACAAGTTATTGTCTATAAGTCACAGTTTTTGTCTAGAACTTGTCTGGTTATGGAACATAACTTGACAAGTTATTGTCCATAAGTCACAGTTTTTGTCAATAACTTGTCTGGTTATGAACCATAACTTGACAAGTTATTGTCCATAATTCACAGTTTTTGTCCATAACTTGTCTGGTTATACACCATAACTTGACTGTTTATGGTCCATAATTGACATTTTTTTCATGACTTGCCCGGATATGGACCATAATTTAACAGGTTATGGTACACTTTTGATATGTTTTTACATAACTTGTCCAGTTATGCATCATAACTTGACAGGTTATTATCATAACTTGATGATAACCTGACAGTGTTCCTGCGCTTGAAATTTTCTGTTCCAATAATGACACAAGTCAAAAGGTTATGATCATAACTCGATCATCATTACCTGACCATAACTTTGATATTGCTTGTGCAATTGTAATTTTCATATTCAAGAGCATGAAATTGATAAATCCTGGGTTTACATTCTTTTTCATTCAAGTGTCAATCTCAAACATAAGCTAAAAGTCTTGTAAATGAATATTAACATTCTAAAGATTGTAAGAAGTAGTGTAAATATCAAGTCATCATTTAAAATATAAGACTAGTTTGTAGAAACAGTAGTCATATCATCCAAAAGGTTGTATTCTAATATCATCTCATTTTTACGAGTCTGGGTTGTTAGAACTTTGGGACAAGAGGATGAATGAAGGATTGCCATGCTCTTCCATTTTTTTCCTATGTTCTTTTGCACTTTTTCTTTTGTATTTCTTCATTGTTTTTTCTTCTTCCTCATTTTCTCTTTCTTCATAATCTTCCTCCTGCAATAATAAGTTTTTGATTAGTTGTAAGAAACTCTCTTTTTTTTGTTTTTTTTTCTCAACTAATATTAATGTAGTATTAATAAGATTCATACCTTTTTGATTCCTTGAGCAGCAGCTTTTCTCATTCCTATTATCTTTTCAGCTTCTTCAAATGTTCTGTCCAATGTTTGTTGAGTGATATCAAACGAGTCTGTGAGTGGAGTATAACCGAATTCTCCCTCATGTTCTCCTAGCTCTGCAGATACATCTTTTTCTTTATCCTTCTGTTCATTGAGGTACAAATTAGTATATCATTAAGGAAACATTGCAAAAACAAATTCAACATTAATTTACATTGTTTCATTACCTCAGAAGCTGGCTTGTTTTGTATTTCTTTGATAAACAGAAGCACATCTTGTTGAATGGTTCTCATAATGTCCATAGAATCCAAAACCATTGCCTTTATTTCTTTCATATCCTCTTTCATGGCTACTTGGTTGGCATCAATATGTTTTACTTTGTTAAGCAGATTACTTATATCAATTTCCATCTTGTCCAATTTTGTTGATGATGCTGGTGGCATCTCTCTTTCAACTTCATCATGATTTATTTCTCTCAAAATGACCACCATAACTTGATAGTGAAACAAAAAGTAATTTTCAGATTCAATAATGACATAACTCGACAGGTTATTATCATAACTTGGTGGAGGGATGAGAGAGAGAGAGATGCAGAGCAAAGAGAGACAGATCGCGTTATAGCAGGGAAGAGAGAGTGATCGTGGGAGAGCAGCGGAGGGAAGAAACAGTTCGCTGGAGAGCGTCAGAAGGAAGAGAGAGTGATCATGGGAGAACGGCGGAAGGAAGAAACAGTTCGCCGGAGGGAGGAGAGAGAGAAAGAGCGGAGGTCGGTGAGAGAGAAAGAGAGCGGAGGTCGGTGAGAGAGAGAGAATTGAGAGATAGAGGAGAGAGAGAGGTGTTAGGGTTTTTTGAGTGAAAATGACATTTTTAGAATTTTATGCATAGATAAATCTGAATATATCATAATTTGGCCAATTTATTAACTTATATAAATTATTAGCCTATTAATTTTAATTAATCTCATGTCTTAGCTTATTTCCCTCTTTCTCCCAAACTTCATTTTCTGCATTCAATTACATTCTTGTCCGCCATGAATAATCTTGAAAAATTGGTAAAGTGAAATTTGATTTTCAACAATTTTTTTATAGGAGTTCTTCGTATGGGGACACAAAAACATACTATTAGTTGGTAAATAGTTTCACTATGTGATTATGATCGCGTCAAATCTACCAAACCATATACAATTCCTCATCAACTTTATTACGTGAATGAATGCTTGTCTTTTTATTTTTTTATGATTATTTAAGAAAGAAAAATATTGGTCAATTATCATTCCTTTGATGCCCAAAAGTACTGGGGGTTGGGATATACATGTCTTGGTCCCGTTTTTTTCATTGATTTGAATTTAAAAATTGAGTTTTGCTACAGTAAAAAACTCTCAGAAACAGTCACATCTAACTTTTTTGCTACAGTAAAAAGCTCTCACATAACATTACATCTCAACTCGAATTAAAAACTTAAATTAACGAACCAAACGGCCCCTGACTCTGTTATAAACTCTATTGTATGTGCTACCTTATTTTTTTGACACGTGTCATCTTGATTAACTCTGTTAAGCACACTTAATAATAGCTTACTTTTTTTAACTATATTTATAAAATGCTTTTTTTAACCATATTTACAAAATTGCCATTTTATTTTAAGTCTTTTTTCACACCTTTTTGTGACACGAATGCTTATGCTCTCCTTCAATTTACGAGGCACCCTTCAATTTTTATATGTTGGTAACGAAACCAATATAGAAGTCCCAAAAATCATATACATATATATATATATATGTATGTATATAGAAGTGCACCATAGATATTTTTTTTTCAAGTGAAGGATTATTATTATTAAAAAGCTCAACCTAGAAAATCACAGGATTTTTTTTTTTTCATGTAGAATAGTACACGACTTTACTATAATCGAAAAGTGAAAAACTATGTCGTTTTTACTTGGTAGCAGAGTGTATGGACACAGTCTAACATTTCTAGACAAAAGGAAACGGCCCAAAACCTGTCTCATCTTCTTTTTTCTTTTGTGTTTTTAAGAATAAATTTTGACTAATTTTGATAAGATGGTTTTATGCACGCACCTTTTTTATTCTTTACGCTCTCTCTTTTTTTTTTTTTTTAATTTCATACCTCGTATAATTTTTAAATGATTAAGTTTGTTTTTTACACACTCTTATTATTTTCAAATTATTCCTAATTATTTTCTAAAGCTAATTAATTCTTAACCAATTTATTTTTCTTTTCACACCCACTATTTTTTTTGTTATTATAAGGTTATCATTTATCATTTTTTTACAGAAGCTTTGGGCATGACTTTTTCTTTTTGAAGTTCAATAGGAGATTTCAATAGTTATTAGTAGAGGTAATTACAAAAAATTCAGAAAAATAAAACAAATTAAACAACGATCAAAATTAAGGAAAAAAAAGTTAATAAAAAAATGACAACAGAAGAAAGAAAATGATAAGCAATAAAAAACAAAGTGATTAGCAACAAAATATAAACTATAAATGAAAGAAAAAAAATACAAAACCAATAAATAGCAAAAACAAAAATTAGTATACCTCCGTGCATTTTTTCTTTTTGAAATAATTAATGAAAGTTGAAAACCAGAATTTTGTTGTAAATAACAAAACGACAACAGTTTATAATTTGCAGATACGACATGTGAGGTGTGTGGAGAGAAAAAAATACTATCATATAATTAAGTCTATTATCTTTTTTTGTCAATTTATACAACGGTGTTTTAGGGGATGTTTGGTTGGAAGATTCTAATCAACGTAAATACACGTAAATAAAAAATGATTATAATCATATGATTCTAATCCATGAACCAAACGTCTCCTTAATAATAAAAATTTCAATAAAAAAAAAGATGTGGAGAGTTAAATGGAGTGTACGAATAGAACTATTCTTTTGATAAATTGTCATGACATCAATTCCTTGTTACACACTCCTCAATTATCATAACCTGCTTGGAACGCAGGAATTTTTACCTTTTTTACCTTACATTTAATTTGCAATTATTGAAAAAAGAAAAGAAAAGAAAAGAAAAGAAAAAAAAAACCGTTGGTTGATAATCATTGCAACTATATACCATCGGATTATATTTAATGAAACTCCATACCTTTCTTTTGGTTTTTTTTTTTTTTTTTTGGAGTGAAAATGTGAAGGAATACTTTACAGCGACGAAAGATTAGGGTATAATTTCTGGATAAATATAGAGTGCAGGTTACAAAAAGTAAAAGCTCCTTATGCGAAGGTAGCAACTAGCAATATCAATGAAGTATTAAATCTAATCATTGCACAATTATACATGAATCATGTTTGATTCAAGATCTAAGTACTCTTTCCGTACAATATCCTATTACCCTTTTAACTTCCCAAAAAAGTTGACCAATCATTTCTCAGAACAGAAACCAGAAATATATCAACTTCCTACCCTTTTATACACGTAGAAACTGATAAAAAAAAGGCTTGGCGTGTGGCTCAACCTTAGTTTTTTTTTGTTTTTTTTTTTTTTTATCTATCTTGTTTTGACTCTCAATATCCTTGAAATTGGAGCTCGGGGCTCAAAAACAATTGCTGATTCAAGAACAACTGGTTCATTAAATTGTTCTGAGGGATTTCTGATTGAATGTTGCTGCTAATTAAACTGAAAGAATTCATGTATTTTTTCGGCGGGGCCTGGTGATCGTCTCCGGTGCCCGTCGGAAGCTGGCGCTTGAGCCGATTCTCCGCCGTTGTTGGGGCCGAGAACTGCAGCTGAGGAAGCTTCTGCAGCATGTAATTGCCGCTGCTGTTACCGACACAGCCATTGTAAAAGGGCTGGTCAGGACTTCCAATGTCAAACCCAGGAATACTACTAATTGACTGATCAAACCCAGAAGTTGAATTACTTGGGCAATCTGCTAAAAGATTACTTAGTATAGAGTAGTCCATTGCATCTAACAAGTCGGAGAATGAAGAAGATTTCTGGGGTTTAAAGGAGTCTTGTTGATCGCCGATTAAGCTTGGCAAAGGGGCATCTTGGATAAATTGCTCCTCTTCTTCTTGGTCACTTGGAAATGATGCTATTGGATGCACAACATTTGTTTTCTTGTAGATACGACAAAGAACCCAATCGTCCAACTGCAATGTAAACAAAGTCTTTGATCAATTAATTGAACAAACAATAATTAACTAATGCTGTTCACACACTAATATTGGACGGATTATAAAAATTTCCTCCTTAGACTTGTAATTACTAATTAGTCCCAGATTGCCTTTGGACTTTTCAAATGTGTCAACGACAACCTAAACTTGATAAAAGTGGCAATGTTATTTATTTATTTATTTATTTCCATAAAAAAAAAATGACTAAAGCGAAAACCAAATTTGTCACTTTTCTCAACTTTAGGGTGGCATTGACATATTTAAAAGAATTAAGGGCAAGTTGATTCAAATGATAAAGTCTATGGGCCTTTTTTAATTTGTCGCTTTCTTACGTACTGCTGTAGTGTGGAAAAAATACGCTACATATTTTGATTGGAACACAAGTAGCTGTTAGTGATATTTGTTTCATACGGCAGCCTCTAGTTATTGAAGCTAAGAACAAGAGTTTCCCTGTGAAAAAAGCACCATCATCATTTTAATCAAGTTGAGACCAAAATGTAATGAGCCAATTCCAAACTATATGGAGTCAAGTATATTTTATATGTTTTTTTTTAACGTCAACATATTAGTAGGTTATATTTTCTGTCCATCGAATCTGAATAAAATCACCTAAAAATCAAAAAATAAATAGATCTAACGGTTAGAAAAAACCTAACATACCGGTACACTAAGCGTACCATAAAATCTCTTTTTTTTTTTTAAGAAAAATAAATAGCCCACTTGATTCCGTCCATAGATTTGATAGTAGGAGGCCTTTAAAAAAATAACTCAATAAGAAAATTTTATTAATAAAATAACTTTTTAAAAATTTTTATTTGTAAAATGACTACGGAACGATAAAAACGACTACTTTTTATCAAGAACGATCGGGTGGTCGTTTTTCATAAAAAAATAAAAGTCATTTTTACCAAATTTCACTTTATTAAGTAGTCATTCTAATATATTTCTCTATTAGGTGCTCACCCTCATAGATGAATCTTTGAACTTGTTGTTGGACTTGTTAACGTTGGAGTAGGTGTAAGTAGGGGTTTCTGCAAGGCGATATTCATGCATAATCCAATTAGTCTTGACACCCTTCGGAGGTCTTCCTTTGTAGAACACAAGAGCCTTCTTCACACCAATGTTCTGCTGTCCGCCTCCTGGTGTGACCAACGTCATGATAGTCTTATCTGTCCCCGTGGCTTTCCAATATCCAGATGCAGCTGCCCTGTTTGGCCTTGCACCATTTGGGTACTTCCTATCTCTTGGGCTGAAGAAGTACCACTCTTTCTCACCAAACGTTGCCTTAGCTGACAAACCCAACAACACACAAATTTTAAGTACTAATAAAAATCACCTACAATGATGAGCAAACCACCGATGAAAACGTAACGATTAAAAATATGTATAGACTGAAAAACAAAAGGACTAACCTGGCAAGTCCCATGGATCAAACTTGTATATGTCAACCTCAGCAATAATGGAAACGGGCAAAGGAATGGAAATAACCCTTTTCCTAAGGTAGTGAAGAATGAGCTCTTCATCCGTGGGGTGGAACCTAAAACCTGGTGGTAGGCTTGTTTGTGGGTTCTTCATCTTTTTTTCTTGATATTTTAGAGTGTTTTTGGACAAGTGGGTTTGGAATATTTAAGGCCAAATGATATATATTTGAGGATGGGATTGCAAGAAAAGGGTAAGGAAATGCAAAAGAAGAGGGAGGGAAAGACTTGTTTTAGAGGCAACTCAAAGAAAAGAAGAGGATTTGGAATTTTTGGGAGGGGAAGATGGGCAGCCGTTTTATGGTTGTGGGAATTTGTCGTCATGCGGAAAAGAGGTTAGGCCAAGGGGGGATGAAAGAGCCAAAGTAGTAAAAAGTGGAAAATAATTATCACCAAGGAAATAAAAAAGACATGTATACTAGGAAAGCTGGAAAGGCAAAAATACCAAGAAACGGAATAGTTCTATCTCTAGATTTTGGACTTGGTTTTAACTTAAATTCATTTTGAAAACACTTAGATCTCATTAATTTTACCGATTCGAGTTTATAATTCTAGTTTTGCTATAGTAAAAAACTTTGAGAAATAGTCACATTTAACTTTTTTACTACAGTCAAAGATTCTCACATAAAGTCACATCTCAACTCGAATCAGTGAACTAAACAGTCCCCATAAGATTTCTTATCAAATAATCTAATTTCTGAATTTACAAATGAAATTAAACTTGTCTTCGAGGACCGGTCTTATACGTAAGAACAATTTTAATAAAGTATAATATTAATATGTATAAGTAAATGTAAGCTTTAACCCATAAATGGTCCCTTGATTATGTTGTCAATTCTACTTTAGTCTCTAGTTTTGTAGAGGGTGGAATCTATAATTGATTAAATTAAGAGCCAATGACCAAGTTAGTAGTAGTCGAATAGAAATATTGATCCGCTGCGAGAACGGGAGCTTTAATAAATGAGAAAATAAAATAAAATCAGTAAAAGAGACACAATAATTTATATAAGTTCGCTCATTAACGAAAGCTATGTTCTCTATCGGGCTCCGGTTGTTTTACTATATATACTGAAAAGCGTTATGATGAGTCGATGAGAGAAGTATAGGATGAGAGAGAGAGAGAGGGATGCTAGAAAACACAGAAAATAATGAGAAAAAAAGGCTGGAAGTGAGCGTGAGTGCTTGAGGTGGTGATCCGTTGACCTCCGAGGATGGCCGAATCCCTTATATTTATAGCTTATGAGGCCCCACAATTGTTTCCCGTTTTCTTAAGTGATTCGGCCTTCAATGCGTGATCCTCATTTCATTTTTGAATGATATTTGACCTCCTTTTGCGGATTCACCTTCCCGTTGATTGGTTAAATGCGGTTGGTTGCCCATTACGAGATTATTCAACTTTCATATTGCGAGGTTACTGTGGATATTTAGTTTTCTTATGTAAAAGGTAATCAAATATGCCCAAGAGCATGTTGTTTGTGGCCTAAGTCAGTCGTTGACCTCTTTCCTCCTTAATTCTTCTAGCTTGACTGGCTGATTCCTTTCTTTTTCAGGCTCATTTGGTTGTCAATTCCTATTAGGAATGTTTATAGGAATTTCTCTCATTGCTTGGCGCCCAAGGTTGAGTATCGACTCGTGAGATCGACCGATGAAGTTGACTGATCAATGATTCGTTTTAGCCTATCTGTGGAGCTGTGGTGACTCGTCTCCGATCTATTAGTTGTTTCAGTTTTAGTACTTTTCATCGGTTGGGTGTTAAAAACAGAAAAAAAAATACACATCATATTCAGTTAACAAGTGTTATTTTATATTTTTGTGTTAGAGTGCATATTTTGTGTGCTATTAATAAAATACTATTTTCTTTTAGCATCAGGTGTATATTTTATCTTCTTTTTTACACCTAATTGATATAAACGACTAAGACTGAAACAAATTGATAGAGTGTAGACTAAATTTGAAACGTTTAAAAAATCAGAGCAAAAGTGCGATTTGACAACAAAATTTATGGACCCTTTGTTAAATTAACCCTAAAGTCTATGTAGTTGTATCTTTTAAAGTCACTGTTACACAAATCAGATATCATGTATATTAGAGAAAGTTGATTTTCGTATACAATTTTCCCTTTGAATTTAATTATATTTACTTTCAATTTAGGAAATCTCTCAATTTTTGAAGATTTGATAGCTTCGGTAATTTAGTCAATTCTGTAATTATAACAAGGTATCAAAGTTGTGTGTAGTTTTCTCTCTTCTTCTAGTTCGTGGGTATAGGCACATCATCAAACTATGTCACATCTTTGTGTTATCTTCTTTTGTTTTCTTCTTTAATTTTTAATAAGGTATCAAAGTTGTTTCTAGTTCTAACGGGAACAGCTCCTAGCCACTACCTACAACGGTTGTCGTGTCTTCCTTTCAACTGTGCAACCTTAATTATTGTCATCCCTTTTCTTGTGTTCCCAACAATTTTCATCCTTTCTTCACACCATTGTGCCCCGACAATTGACGCTCTCTTCCCGTGCGCTCTTACGCCCTTAACAAACATGACTTGAAGAACCGAACCCACGTATGTGGCGAAATACGAGGATGACTTGTGGCTAGGGGTGAAAGGCCAACCAAGATCGGATATAGATGGTTTTCCACGAATCTATTTCAGTAGAGCGTATGATGTCAATAGGCTAGGGTGGCCCCATTTCGCCTTACCAACCCTAGGAAAACTCCGAGTCCAGGCTTAGATCGTTTGTACAGACAATAGTGAATCTTTAAGGAGCGTAATTAATCCAATTTCTCAATTGGTTGGTCAAATGCATTGACATTTGCGCATTTGATTTCTTCTTTTCCAATTGAATACTCAAATGGCATTTCATACTGAGAGTTAAATTAAGATTAAGAATAAGGAACTGATTATCTCGATGAGTGTCACCTCAGTTCAAACTTATCTCAAATTTATCTTCACATCACCCATACTAGTTCTTTCTAATACCTTGTAAGATTGGAATCTCTAATCCGAGTTAGATAAGTTTATTGTATCTTGCTATCTTTAGCAATTGTTTGAATAAAATTGCATTTATTTTCAATTTAAGAAATTTTTTATTTTTTGAGATTTAATACCTTTGATAACTTACCGAATTAATTGTAATTTTTTATTTATACAGAGCGGATGTATAGTGCTTCTTAGTTTTTCTTTTAACTATTATTTTGTGAATGTAGTCACATTGTTGAACAATATAAAATCTTTATCTTTTTTTTATTATTTTCTTCTGTAATTTTAAATCACATTACTTTTCGCTTTTACATGTTATATATAGTTCACAAAGGCCAAAACCTTTGTGTATGATTCTTAGGGTCCGTTTGATAAATAAGGTTCAAATCGTGATGGTTTGATTTTTTTTTTTTTTTTTGTGTTTAAAATAGATTGTTTGAAAAATGTGGTTTGAGTTTGTATTTCAAAATGACATTTGGATATACAGTTAATCATAGGTCTAATGAGAAATAAAATCTGAAACTATGTTTGGCTGTGTATTGAAAAAATGGATTTAAAATGCTGAAAATGGATTAAAAATGTTGAAAAGAAGGGGGAGGTAAATCCAAAAATGGAGCTATTTTGGGTTCAAAATGTCTAGTAGAAGACGATAAATGGGTCTCAAAAAGAGTTACCAAACGTCTGCTCAGCTGAACCAACGTTAATAAATAGTGGAGGTAGGGTTGGCAATTTCAGTAGCGACACGATTTAAAATCCTCACGAAATTAGAAAGTTTGGGTTTATTATAAATGAGTTTGAGTCATAATCGGATTGAATTGATTAATAAATAGATTGGGTTAGGGTTGACCTCTGAACACGAATTGACCCGATTAACTATATATGTCATCTGCAATCTAATAATATGTGATATAACATGAAAGTTTATATGACATATTAAATACAAATAATGTAAATTTTAATATTTATAGGTAAAATTCATTTATTTTTCTTAAAAGAAAAGATAAATTGATCAATAAATATGTTAAACATGCATTGATCGTGTTAAATAAGTCATTATTATATTAATTATTTATTCAATATATTATTTTTAACGAAGTTATACAGATTGACACGATTAATAAATTAGTCACGTTTAAATTAATATTTTTAACACGATTAATAAATATGTCGTATTTGAGTTGATGTCTTCTGACACGAACACGACCAACTAATACGAATTCCCGCCCCGGAGGTAAACACTAGCGTTAAGAAATATGACGTGGCCGTGTTATGAAATGCCAGCTGGGTCCTGTGAGTGGCGCGTTTGGTTTATCTGACTTTTGTCCTAATTCTCCAAATTTCATTTTGTCTGAAAGTTTTGATTCCTAAATGATGGGGTCTCTTTTTAAATGTAATTGTAGGTCCCGTTTCTTTTTGTAAATTTAAGTTTAAAATTTGAGTTTTGTTACAGTAAAAAATTTTAAAAAATAATTATATTTAATTTTTTTATTACAGTAAAAAATTTTCATATAATATCACATTTTAATTTAAATTAAAAATTTAAATTAACAAACGAACAAGTCCTTAATGTAAGATAATGTTACGGTAGTGAAAAGGAAGATGGCAATGGCGGCTGAGCTCTCCTATCGCCCATTTAGTCAATTGCCCATTACATCATCCTTTTTTCAGGTTTAAGGTAGAATCTTGACACGTGCCTGCCTTCCTTTTGACAGCAGAAATAAAAATGCCAAAAAAATTGCCAAAAGCCAATCCCGTAAACCTCCTGTGCCAGTCCTTGTTCATCGTCACTTTCCTCTGCCGTAACTATGCATCTCTCTTCGACCCTTATCCCCATCTTGTACTTTCCCTCCAATTTTTCTTTTTTCTTTTTTTTTTTCTGGTCCATTTTTTTAAGGAAAAAAAACCGTATATATTTACGTATACATGTATACTTATACGACATTATGTTCAAGCAGAATCAAGCTTCATTTCATCAATTATCCCCTATCGGATCATGCTAAAAGCGACACTTCACTACTCAATACCGTTTAGACTTTGTATACGTACGCTTTTGCTTGTAAAGCAAAGAATACATAGATCGGAATAAATACTAACCTATAACGCAGAGGAACTGAATTTTAAAAAAAATAAATAAATAAATAGTGAGATTTTGACACAAATAGCCTTTTTTTTTAAGGATATTTTTTATAAATGACTAAAATTTCTTTAACTTAGTGGTCAATCATTAATTGACGCAACGGTCAAGCACAGATTAACTAAGCGACCAATTATGATTGATTCTAATTTATCACTAATTAACTCGATTATTCTTTATTATTAATCAACATTAGTTAATAATTAATCAAAATTAATTAGTAATTAATCAATTACAATCAATAAATTACATGTCTATTAATGATAAATTATAGATAAATTAATAATGAATTGATCAATCACTGATTGATTGGTCCATAAATCAATCATTGATTGACTCATGTAAACAAAACGATTTCGTAAAAGTAAAAAAAAAAGTTTGGTCATTTATAAAAAAAGACGGTTAAAAAGGACCACCCACCATAATTTGCCATAAATAATCAATGAAAGAATTAGAAAAGTCCTATGAAACAGAAAGTAAGCAACCCACATTATGTTATGAGTCAAACTATGTTGTTAAAGAGGTGCGTTCAAACCTCATTCAACGTGAAGATCCAAGGGAGTGCCAACTAAATGATGAGGCCACTACATTGTTCCTCTGCTTCCAAAGCTTCAGATAAGATTAATTTGTTATTTTCCTTTTATTTTGGTCGAATAAGAAGGAATCTTTTAGCCTTTTCTTATCTCTTAATTAGACTAGGCACTAATTGTAAAAGTTCCCATCCAATCAAACGCAGAGAGAATGTTGATTAAGGATCAAGTTCATCTAAGTTTATCCTATCCAAACCCCAAAGGCATACTTTATCTTTGTACTTTTTTAGGCAAAAGCTATTCTAAGGTTGTGAAAATTGTTAAAATATAAAATTATTGTTGGCCCACATCCAAACAATTTAAGCTTTTAGCTAAGCTTTTGAAATAAATTGGTAAACTAACATGGTATCAGAACGGGAGGTTCTGAGTTCAAACCCCCGTAATTGCACTCTTTATCCCCATTTAAAATTGTCATCATGTGTTGGGTATTTAATATATTTTAGGTTTAAATATTCACGTGTTGGGTATTAATTTACGGAAAATAGTAGAAAATAGGCCAATATGAAAAGCTTAAGAAAGTATATAGGCCAATTTTTAGTTATAGAAATTAATAGGCCATAACTTGTCAAGTTATAGTTCATAACCAGATAAGTTATGGACAAACTTGTCAAGTTATGGTTCATAACCAGACAAGTTATGGACAAAAACCGTGAATTATGGACAATAACTTATCAAGTTATGGTTCATAACCAGACAAGTTATGGACGAAAATAGTAATTTTACCTATTTATTAACTTATGTAAACTATTTACCTATTAATTTTAATTCATCTCAAGTCTTGACCTATTTTCCTCTTTTTCCCTTAATTTACCCACACGATTGTCCATTGTCCACCCACACGTGAGGGAGAGTGTTAAAATATAAAATTATTATTGACCCACTTCTAAACAGCTTAAGCTTTTAGTTTAAGCTTTTGGGATGGATTGATAAACTAACAAAAATAACTCTTATAGACAGAATTATCCTCTCTTCAGTAGTCAAGTAGCTTAGTTCAGGTAATCTTCTAGTCAATTAAACACTCTT